AAAATTTCCAGATAGCATGGGCAGGTGCGGCTGCAGCAGTTGCGGCGCGTCGGCTTGCAGAACACACCATTGAAGGCGGCATTTGAATGATTCCTTTGGTCTAACAAATTTGACCCCCTTATAAGCATGTCAAGTCAGTCAAGTCAATACGTCTGCATACTACTACATAACTATACCGTGTGTGAGTATGTATATATATATATATGTAGATACACACGTGTATATAGTCATACATACACATGGAAGTCAAATTCAAGTGCTGTGTTCTTTGTTTTCTCCTTCTCAACTTTGAAACAACTGCTTCTTCACGTTTTCATCCCAGCTGAGACTGCGACCGCGGAGGCATGATCAAGCTGCACGAGCGGGAAAATCGCGATTTGGAGGACAACCGATTCTGCTAGCAGCGGAAGCACTTGCTTGGAACCTTTTTTTTTGGCAGGCTCTTGTCAAGAAAAAGTTCTACACACCTGCTCCTGGCACTAAGCTGCCCACCGTATCTCGGCACGCTTTATACCATTAAAATAAGAAATCATTCAACCTATTTCGCTTCACTTGGCAGAACCAACGAAAGACACGTGATATGATTCACCGTAGATCCTGAGATTGCACAGAGGTTGCATGAAGTGATTATGTTGTCCCCAACAAGCATCGAAACACAGCGGCCACGAGCTGACAGCACATCGTTCTTGGCGCAAGATGGCGCCAGATGTTCAATGATCAATCAAGGTCTCGAGCTTGCCATCACTTGGCATGGGCAAAGGGAAGGTGCCTTGGTGCTGGTCTTGTTTTGTCAGATAGCTATGGATGAAATAGTTTGACCCAGAGTTTGGATGGTACCCTCTTCTTACACCCAATGTTACCCAAGGATCGATCTGCACCATCCTCTGCACCAAACGTGCTTTTCCACCAAGCGCATCCAGGCGTGCGATGAGACCAAGCGCATCCTCCGATTAAACTATCACAGGCGAGGCGTTTGTCGTTGGTCTGGTTCGTGAGGGATGCACACTCCTCTAAGGGAGAGGCGTGAGAGGCGTCTGTCTGCTGTGTGTAGTCATCTAGTCACAGTACGAGGGCCAAGGTTGTAATGTATACAGACTGTTTATCAATAACCCCCCTCATTTGACCGTTTGGACTGTAAACTTCTTCATGTTGTAGCGGTTTTTACTCTATTTTTTTGACAATTCTTTATTCCTATTCCATTTAGCAAGCCCCTTTCGTGGCAACGACGTAAGGATCCCCTGGATCCACCTGTTAAAGAGCTGCCAAGCCGAGGCTTCTACGGGTCTCACCAGGGTCTCCCATGAAGTGTCCAAAAGAACAGGCTTACCACTTTGGAAGGCTGCAAGGACCTAAGGATGCTTCGCCCTGCGGCGGTTTCTCTTTTACCCAGAAGGTGTGGTGTTGATGGGCTTAGGATCAACACTTGATTGGTCTTCCACGCTTGGTGGTGGTGGTGGTGGTGGTGTTCAACCCATATAGATCTTGAGCAATCCAATAGCTTTGGTAAGCACAGTGCAGCAAGAACTGAGCCAGGCCCCATGCCCGCAGAATCTGGTTTACATGAGTTATGAGTTTCCTTGGCTCACTGATCCCCATGGATTGAGGTGCGACACAGAGGTTCACACATGCTTCTCAAGCCTTGTGATTTCAGGAACCAAATGACAGCCTGAACCCAACCAGACACCCTGAACAGAACTCTCTCCAGTTGTGTTTCGCCCCCCCGCGTCTCCAGTCGTAGTGTCGCCTCTGGTCCTTCAGGGTGCTCAACACTCCTACAGTGTACCAGGAACACAGGCCGAGGTGCGGTCCGAAATCGTGTCGACCTGGGAGTCCAGTTTCGAGCGGAGATTGGATGCAGTGGACATGTGTTCTTCTTATTGAACTACTAGTAGCTAGAAGCTACTAGTAGGGACCTGACTAGTTAGTAACGGCATTACTACTAGCTAGAAGCTACTAGTATTCTGAACCTTTGTACTTTGCTTTTGAAAGGTTGCTGATTTGGAGTCATATCAACGTCAGATCCGGACCCGGTGGGTCATGACACGAGCATCCGACCCGTTCGGATGACCGTTCGGTGACCGTTCGGTGACCGTTCGGTGACCGTTCGGATGTGGCGGGGTGCGAGTTTCGTTTGATTCTGGGCAAGACGTTCTTGACATTAGCGACATGAGCAAGATGTTCTGACTTGTGAGGCTTTGCATTAAGACTTGTGAGGCTTTGCAAGATTGTGTTCTCAGGTCGGCTGCGGACATGGATTTGAGGGAGGACAGGGGTGAGTTCTCGGTCATTTATGACAGAAAGGCGTGTGTGTCTCGGTGTGTCCATGCAGTCCACGTGGGCCATGACCAAGGCCACCTCACCTCCCCATTTGATGCTACGGATTTTTGATCTAGATTCTAGATCCATTGAGTAGAAACTCGACTGACCATCCCGCATGTTTCTCATTCCCGATCGACCTTCAGCAGTGGTTGCGGGCTAGGCAAGCCGACTCACTTTTTGATCGCTCGCCACCAGGAGAAGGCCTTTTTCAGCTCTGCTCCGCTCTGCTCAGGACCTGAAGTTGCACAACGATCCAGAATTACAAGAGAAGCGCTTCCTGAGACAGCGAGCCCTCCGCCCAGCTGTGACTCACAAGTGTTTTTCTTTTTCACATTTCTATGACCGGACACACGCATTTGGCTTTGTTTGGTCGAGTGATGTTGAAAGAGTTGCAGCTGGAATGACTTGGGACCTCTATATCATCCTTATGTCACTTTTTTGGGCCACAGCGATCATGATGATCTTTCGTGTGCCGCACGTTTCTGGCACCCAGGGCACCTACCAAGCAGTGCCTGGCAACGTAAAGGCCTGGCCGGCTGAATATCACCAGTACAAAAAAATCAGGCCGCCAGATTGCTTTCCAGCGAGGCTGTGTCACCTCAAAAGAAGAGCAAATCGGTGTGCTTGACGCCCATGAAATCTCAAAGTGTGTGAGCCCTAGCTGCCCTAGCTGTGTTTTTCACTTGCAGTCCTCGTTGCAGTCCGTTTTTTACTCACTGGTGTGGGTCATTGTGGGTTTACCCCCCCCGATGGCCCCTTTTGCAAAAAGACATCGCCCGAGGCACCGCTCTTGCCGCCTGCAACTGGAGCAGATCGAGGACCTCCGAAGCTGAGGAGCCTTCGTCAAAGGTGTTTCAGCATGTTTCAGCCAGATTTAATGGACATGTGCCCACATATAGGCAGGCTATATATACACATATATATATATATATTACTATATATTATTAACTAATACATTATATTGTAGGTGGATTATATCGTATGCCCCACCTGAACTCTAAATGTTTTTTGACAAGCAAAACACAGCGGTAGGATCACCCACCTCGGACCTTACAGGGCCGTTTGAGTTTCATACTCAACTTGCCGCCTGAGGTATATTGCCCCCGGCATAGTTGGCAAAGGTATTTACGGCCCTTCTCAGGGGTCATCGTGTGCGTGCAATGCAGGTTAGGGTGCAGTCCAGAACCGGAAACAACAACTCTGTTCCCTCCAGTGCAAGGGAGCGCCATAGAGACTTTCAGCTTATCAAGCTTGACATAGTATTTCAACTCGCAACCACACAAAGTACATTTGAGGTTCTTTCCAACTTCTTGCTACACATGGCCAGTCGTACGATCAGTTTTAGCTTCAGCAAAAAGTGCTCGTAACGAGATAAAACGGGTGGTGCCAACCACTCACCAACTTCAGGAGCAACAGTGTCCCACTTCCAAGTGAGCCACAAACGGGGAAGCAGCCATTCATTGAGCTTCCACGCGCGCGCGCGCGCGCAGTAAGCCAAGACAAGGTGTCAGCGTGAGCTTGCATGTCAACACTTCCAGCTTTCTGATCACAGAGCTGATCAGCCTTGTTGTTAGCATGCCAAGCCCACTCAGCGTCAGGGTCAAGTGCAAGAAAAGCTTCAAGTTTGAGATGAGACTTGATTTTATACAACTGGATAACCTGACCTTTATGTTGCAGGGCGGCAGCCCACAAGTCCCCATGGCTATGCCAACAGAACCAAAAGACAAACGCCTCCAACCTTGGCCTCAACAACTATCCGTACGGGGCCATGCGTGCGCTGCAACAAACGCAGTTGACGAAGCGCCCTGGGCACAGTGTTTGGCCCTACCGAATGAAACAAGCAAACCACAGACACTTCCAAGGACATCGAAAACACCAGCCGAATTTTGTTTCATTGCCACCACAGCCCACGTACATTTACGCAGTCTGGGGTCTTTGGAATGCACGCCACCAGAGCCATCAGTGCCAAACCAGACGTCATCCCAAACGAAGCCAGGTTGCAGGAAACATCCGGTAGCAACAATTTGGGCATTTTCCCTTAGTTCATTTTCCCTCAGCCACACCACCTTTCCTCCACACCTGGGAAAGGTATCAAAAAGCAAAAACCATAGAACAGAAGCTTCCCCCATTGCACGCGCTTCCCTCTCACTCTCGCTTCCCTTGCAGGCCACTTGCAAAGGGGGCAAACAATTTGCTAAAGTTGAAGGATGGCAGAGGGCCTGGCTGCAATGCTTTCCTTTTAGTTTGACCTAAGGAAGTACTGAAAATAAAGGAAGAAAGAGATATGACAAAGGATGAAAGGTTTCTTCGCCTACACGCTTTGTGCCGCCTTTGTCATCCTTTAAGGCGCACCTCCAGCGCGACTCTTATGGCCGGGCATGAGGGCCGTTTGCTCTGGGTCTGGCAGTAGACTTTAGGTTGCATGCCGGGACTTTGCAGGGCTGAAATTGGACGGTCAGAAACTGATTGCTATCAGCTTTTCTGATAGCTGTTTTTTCGCCCAAGCCTTGCCCAGTCCATGTTCATATCCGTCCGGCTGCGCGACATTCTTTTTTGCGGTCCGACCGACTGCGATTGCGGAGAGAAAGACGGCGTGCTTGTATATATATATATGTGTGTGTGTGAGGTTTGGAGACTCGAGTTGGTGAGAATGACTTTGTGTCCACTTTCTCCGCTCGTAGGTTCACTGTCCTGCCTACATCTTGCGATATGATTCGCCTGACATCATCGAGAATTCCATTATAGACTGCCATAGACAGGCCTGAAACAGCTACTGAAACAGCTGGAAACTGTTGAAAGTTGTGGACCTGTGAAGGCTCGCTACTTGTCTTTCCAGCAACAGTTCGGTGAGCTTCAACCTCATGAACAGTTGCGAGAGGACAGCAAGATAGAGAAGTGACGAGAGATAGAGAGAGGCAGAGCCGGCAGAGCGACATGCATGCACCTTCAAACTTGAGCTTGTGCCGTGCTGAGTGGCCAGTCAAAGATTTGGGCTGCTGATTTCATCTTATTGCTTGTTCCTGTCTTAAACTAAAACCGAGACAGGATCGCTACATCTACAAGGCAGTTGAGCAGGCCTTCTGCAGGGAACAGCTTGCCTATAGCTAAAGACACGATGGCCACGTGAATTACCGAAGAGGATGGTAGAGCTTCCTTTATGACAATGTTCAAGAGAGAGAGAGAGAGAGAGATATTACACAAATCCATGGTCTGGAACAACCATTTTCAAAAGCCACCTCCAGCCTCCAAAACTACCACTGCTGACTTGCTGACCCTCTACCCCTCCTCACCTCTGACTGGGCTGTTTGGAAGGCCTGTGGGCAGCTGCTGTCGATGCTGGAGCCTCCGCCACAAGACATGCTGTCGGAGTACAGCGAGTCCACAGAGTCGACGGGTACCGAGGGCCCCCTGGCCTCAGGTGGAGTCCAGTCTGGAGTGGACCGGGTCGAAAGTGCATGAAGCTTCTATGGATGAGAATGAGGATGAGAATGAGGATGAGGATGATATGGATGATATGGATGATATGGATGATATGGAATGGAATGGAATGGAATGGAATGGAATGATGGATGGACCTTGGATCCAAAGAACTGTCTCCTCTGCAGAATCTGACACCCCACAGGTGTCTTGACAGGGGGGCATTCGGTAGAGAATCTAACACCCCCAGCCTTCGACGGGGATGTGCCTCCACCGTGCGTAGCTTCTTGCTGCTAGGTCAATGTTGTAAATATATATATATATATGCTTGTCCTTTCTTCGTCTGGAAGAGTCGAAGGTTCTTCTTCGAATGTGGAAGTCTCGTTCGACAGCTGAAGGCATCACTGCCGTCTTGCTTCGAGAAATCAAGCGAGAGCGGGTGGAATCCTGAGATCTGTTTGGAGATCCGTCTGGGATGTCTAGGGCTAAGGGGTTGTTGTTTGCATGAGTCACACCCAAGAAGACCCGAATCAGGTCCTAAGCTGTTTGCTAAGCTGTCGGACCAGGTGACTTACTTTTCAATATCGCGGGTTTTGGAGTTTGTGTCCTGAGCCGTGAATCACTGGCTGTGGTATGAGACACTTAAAACAAGATGAAGCGAAAGACAGACAGCACCCCAGACCAAGTCTTGCCGTTGGTAGCGGTAGAACCTGCATTTTCAGGGCGTCATCGCTGCCGCCCGGCCATCACACCATTTCCAACATGGACTGCGGTTGCAGAGTGTCTCATACAGAGGTGATTCGTATGTGGCCAGAAGCCAGTGGTTCCCTATAGATATAGAGTCCTCTATTTTTGCCATGATTTGGTCACTTGCCCACATCTGCTGAGGTGTTGCTGTTGCGATGTGTTCAGGCATTCCAACAGCGCCAGCAGGCGCAACAGAGATCGACCGATGGTCAGGCTTTTGGATGCATTGTCACCGGTCCGAGGAGGAACCACAGGTGGCAGACGAACCTCGCTTTGGCACCGATGGCAGGAGAGCGACCTGAGACCTGTACCGTCGACCCTGGCAGAACCTTTGGCAAGGTTGCGAAATGGCCAGGCGAAAGTTCGAAACGCCCACCGTCTTGGGAATCTGGAACTCATCCAAAAAGAGTGGAATTCCTGTTTGTTGTATGCAGAACTGCCTCATCTCGTCCCTCTGGTTGTCTTCTTTTTGACGAACGACCAGGCGCAAGACGCGAACCAGGCCGGGCCCTCGTGCTTTTGCTTTCGCGACCTGTGACGCGCTCCGCTCCGCTCGGAGCTCGTCGGGCTCGTCGGGTTCCGAGGACCGTCTCGTCGGCTGCAGCCATCTCTCGGATCCAATGCCGACACCGCCACCGGAGATCCATGACACCAATGCCATTCCGGTGAACGGGTAAGGGAACAGCAGCAACATGAACCGCCCACACAATCGAGAGCTTCGAACAAGATGTCTTTTGATTATCGGATAGCAACGATTTTGAAGAAATGGATACCCTCCATATCTACAATCATCTACAATCCAATGTTGAAGTTGCTTTCCATGAGATTCACACATATTTCGCCCACCAATTAGCGCCAATCTTCGCTATGGTGATGCGTTTCTTCAATCGGGGCGCTGCGAGCAAGAGCCAGGATCGGGGCCATCGGGGTCGTGTGGGGCGCGGTGTGTCTGAGTGTCAAGGGCCGCCAGAAAAGGTCTGGACAAATATATGAAAAACACATTAGAGAAGACTTGCTTGTCTTAAGGTTGCCTGTGGACCTCACTGGAGTGTCTGGCGGACAACAACATGAAGCAATCAATCAAATTGTGATGATGCCTTCCTGCTTTGCTAAAGTGCAGGAGTCCGCGACGAACGAGGTGACAGCTGATCATGGTCGTGCTCTCGAATTTCTTTGCACTTTGCAAGTGGTCACACCGCAGAATGTACAGTCGTTTCCTTGATAGCCATTCTTGCGTGATTCGACGAGGGAAACGAGTTTGGAAAAGCGTCGAAACGAGTTCCTGATAAGGTCTGAGCACAGTTCTTGCTCCTAGTAGCGTCCTCGTTCCTAGTAGTAAGGCCAGGAGCCCCTAGTAGCGTCCTTGCTCCTAGTAGCGATGCTCTTTGTTCCTATGTTCTCGGATCATGTTCTCGATTCAGGTCTGAGCACAGTTCGAGAAGACGAGAGTGCGGGCTTCAGCGCATCAACGGGAAGCCTCGAGAAGGGACTCACAGCCTGTGCATGTCATTTTCACAGCCTGGACTCAGAGAGAGGGGCTCTTGACCTGAGAGGGCACCCCAAAACACCAAATCCAGGCATTTGTTCGACCCTGAGGACATCTCAAGATCTCAAGCCAGATTCTTTTCCTTTTCGCAGCTACTGAGGGAGCTGCAAGAAAGGGTAGGTCAGCCCATGTGGCTTTAAATTTGGTGTCTACAACAGAACAACAGCCACATGTCAGTGAGTTGCACTCACCATGCGTGTGTTCGTGAACCGAAACATCATGCACTCGTTTTTCGGGGGGTGATCCCTCGGGGTCCTTTTGCTGCGTTCATGTGGTCACCGCAAGGCATGCCCAGGCCATGGGGTGCGTGTTTGTGACCGTGCCTTCAGGTGAGGACTTAGCGAAATCAAAAGTCCAAGGCTGGAGGGAAGGACAAGAAATGACAAGAAGCATACACTTGAAGGGGAGATGCTGCAGTGCCACCACCGAAGTATCAGAGTTGAATGGTTCGCGATTGTTCTGCTTGGGCAGGCTCCCCAGCCTACGTGACTAACACAGCGTTGGCGGAATCTCAGATGCAATTCTGGATCCTGTTGATGTCAACCGAACAGGTTTCAGTGCAAGACCTGGTCTCAGATCTCCCAGGAAGAGCCACCCAATGACGGCTTCAAGTTGCCGATACCGACTATCCCGAAGGACGGCTTCCGTCCCTTCATTGCGGTGTTTTTGGCACCATTTGTGGCGTTTCCCTTCAAAAATTCAGCAGCTAGCATCACTTGTGCAAGCATCAATGTTGTCAGACTCTTTCGCCGTCTAAAGAAGATTGGAGTGAACCAGTGAACCAATATGAAAACCACAGTTATGAACTTGATATGTCATGGAACTTGTGACAACGTGTGGCTTTTGGTTTCAGATGGCAAGTCGTTGCTTGAAGGACTGGCGCAATATTAGCACACCTTCCAACTCCTTTGGGCCTGACCCTCAGTCTTGCCAGAGTGGCTGCGTGAAGATGAACACGAGAACTTGGGGACAGAAGTACGTGCTACTGCTGACAGCAAAAACTATCAAAAGCTCAGTTGATAATGTTGACAACATACACACAGGGGCAACAAGCTCTAACAAGTTGTGCTTGTGTCATGTAAATGTGTGTCACATCATCAGCACAGCAGTTGCAGTGTGTGAAAAGATGTACAAAAGGGAAACCTTGTCGTCTGCATGCCCAAAGAGTCAATGTTGGCTGCCAGTGCCGCATTGTGTGCTTTGAGGAGCATCAAATTCTCAAAGTGTTGCCAAATGTTGCACTTCCGTGCTCTGGCATAGCAGGGTGCATCAAGGGTTCTGGGGTATGTGCTCGTTTAGTCTTTGACAAGCACACACTCATGCATACACACTGAATGAGCACACTCATTTGCTCTCGAAGTGAGCCTGTTGCTGGAGATCCGCGCAGAGTGATTGGATGCATGAGGGCCGCCTTCCAATACCCATAGGGGCCAAGCCACTTCCTGATACAGACTGATACTCGATTCTCAAGTGAAACAATGGTCTCCGTGAGAGGCCGACCCGATTCAGGGCTTATGGCACAGTGTGAGTAGCTATAGTATAGATGTTCTCAACCAGTCGTATCCGTCTCAGTACAAGATTTACCGATCCGATGCCAGCTTCATTGGAGGTGTCGACTAGTCACACTAGTCTGTCACACTAGTCTAGTCAATTCTTTTTTGCATGTGTTTTGAATGGTAGAGGACCATGTGCAGTTTCCTTCATCACGGGTGTGCAGCCATCATCGAATTGCTTTTCAAGGAATGGCCGAATGGCAACCAATGCGTCAAAACGCGAGACAATCATCTACACCTAGTGTGCACTCGCTACTAGTAACAGGTGCCTTACTAGTAGTAACAAGAAGCTACTAGAAACAAGTGCCTTACTACTAGAAACGCCCGGTGACGCGCGTCTGGCAGTTCGGACTATGATGCCCGTGAGCCCCGTGAAGACGGCGGGGAGAGAGAGACGGAACCGTGTCCACAGCCGAGCGACAACGAGCAGCGACCTGTTCCAATCCTGATTGCGTATTTAGCAAACGTCGCAAGGGGTAGCTGAGTAGAATGGACACAAGGCGAGCAGCTTATATATTCTGTTACACAGCAATGATGGAATTGGCTACCAATTGATACTGAACGTGCAGGAGCCAAGAACCGGAGTTGAAACTTCTTTTGGCACAAGCATTCTTCCTTTCTTATTGGTCAACAATATGAATAGGCGACTCATGTCAATAGAGTCTCCAAATAGGCGATTTCGAATACACCAAGCCTAGTAAGCCTTATTGGACGACCGGCTCGACCGGTCCCTTGGAGTTGGAACACTCCCGGAGACCGGTCCCCTGTGCAGGCCCTTCGGCCAGCTTCGCGAACGCAGCAGCGTCATTTCAGACTCAGGAGACGACACGGCAGACTGAGCATGGCAACGTGAGCGGCGAAGACCTGAACAGGTTCCACCCCACACCCCAGATGTGCAAGAGGGTCCTCCGAGGGTCACCCGTGTCAGTGCGTCACCCGAGTCCAACATTTCAATGAAGTCGGTAGAGTGAGCTCTTTTGGTCAGCAAGTAGCTTGTTGTGGCTGCCAGGGAGTAGCATCGTGGTCCACCCAATATGCGCTTTGGCTGCACCATTTGGTTTCGATTAAAGAAGCGCGTCGTGAATCTGTGAGTTCCTACAAGTTGCCTGCGAATCTGAGGAATTTCCAAGCTATCAAGGTCCTGTCCCACCGCCTTTTCCGCTGCATCCGCCTCAGCCCGTCTAAAGAGAACGCTGGTTGATCTGCTTCTAGCATCTTCTAGCCACACAAGCTGAGGATGTATAGGAGTCTTGCACAAGTCTTTAGCAACCTGGGGAACTGCATACAAATCATGGACCTTCTCAGTGCCTAACTCATGTCACTCATGAGTTTCGCTTGAGGCCCCTTCCTGGTGATCAAGGCATCCCAGGTTCGGGCGGATGAACACATCAGGGATGTCAATTGATTCTGCCCTTTCAAGTGAAACACATCTACTTCCAAACAGAGATGGTGAAGAACTTCAACTCCAAAGACTGAGTCCAAAACTTCACCAACGACTGGAGGACTTGGTGATCACATGGCCGGCAAGGACCAAACGACTCCGGGTCAACGCCGGCGAGGGGGAACGCCACGCCGCCGTTGCCTCGGTCGGTTGGGTCGCCGCGCCCGGTGGCGGTTCTGGCGGTGCGGCCCGTTGACTCCGTAGGACTTTCCTTCGTGGATGACAGAGGACCGGTGGCCATCGTACAGCGAGAAGCCAGAAGGTGGGCGATGAGGACGATAAAACGCAGGTGGAAGGTATTCTAGTGGAAAAGAAGCTTTTTTTGAATTGGATTCAACTGGCGATGCGTGTTGCTGGCGGTTACTCAAGATTCAGATGAACTCAAGGAACCCCTCTATTGAGGCAGCTTCTTTAATCTCTCTTTTTTGGGGTTTGCAGAACCATCCCAGCAGAAATGATAACGATAAGGCAAACAGCATGGCAATGGCGAAGAATGGCGAAGATGCAAGGTAAGACATTTGGTGGCCCCGCTTAATTGAACTGGCCCACAAAGTCATTTCCTTAGGTTTAAAACTAAATTGGGTTTATGCGATAGCTAATATGGCTGTCATTTGACACACCCTTGACAGTGATGCCGCTGATGCCGCTACAGTCTCATTTGTGTGTCACTGCGTTGACTCTATTCACGTCGCTTCGCGACGGTAACCGCCCGCACCGGATGGAAGGGGACAATACATCCACCGAGTCCCGGAAGGAAGCCCGAGCTGCTTGTGCTCTTGGAGCCAAGGGAGTGAGTATGAAAGGAAGTGTCCGACATAGCGTCCATATTGTCGGCCCCAGAACGGCTCCCCCCCAACGTGGCTGAACGTAGCTTCCATATCGCCTGGAACGTCGCAAAGATAAGGTCCAACTCGAGCAGAGAGAAGCAGAGTCATCAGGGGAAGGGATGATGTGGTATTCGA